CAACAAATACACCAGCTAAATTAAATATCCGAGAAGGGAAGATGCTGAATGCTAATGAGCATATTGCCCGCGTAAAACGTTGCAGGCCGTTGGGTTCCAAGGATAATAATCCACGAAAGAAGAAAATTGCAAATATTTGTGATGAGATCAACAATGATCAAATACCTGAAAAGGTCAATACAACCCCTGAGAGGTTGATACTAAAAATTCTGATGAAAGTGAGGATGAAGTTATTGAAACTTCTGTTAAATATACCACAAGTGGAAAGTATTGGAATAGAAAGAAAACAAATTTTGATAATGCATTTGCATATTCTGTACACTCGATATAATGAAAGATGACGAGGATTATGAACAAAAATCAGTTGATGAATATCGGCAAAGAGATGATTGGACAAAATGAAAAGAGTCAATTCAGTCTGAATTGGACTCATTGAAAAAACGACAAGTATTCGGCCCCATAGTCCAAACACCTGTAAATGTAGAACCTGTTGGCTATAGAATGGTTATTGTGAGAAAAATAAAATAAAATAACGATATCATAAGATATAAAGCAAGACTTGTAGCCCAAGGTTTTTCCCAGAGACCGGACATTGATTTTGAAGAAACATATTCGTCGGTCATGGATGGAATAACATTCAGGTATCTAGTGAGCCTCGCGGTACACAATAATCTTGATATGCGATTAATGGATGTGGTTACTATTTATCTTTACGGCTCCTTAAACAATGATGTCTATATGAAAATCTCAGAAGAGATTAACATACCCGAATCATTCAAATCAAAGCCAAAAGAATTATATTCCATTAAATTGCAAAAATCTTTATGTGGGCTCAAACAATCGGGCCGAATGTGGTACAATCTTCCAAGCGAAAGCTTAACAAAAAAAAAGTTATATAAATGACCCTATCTGTCCATGTGTTTTCAAAAGAAAAACGGGTCTGAATTTGTAATCATCGTTGTATATGTGGATGATCTCAATTTGATTGAAACCCCTGATGAAATTAAGAAAGCTGTTAAATATTTGAAAAAGGAGTTTGATATCAAAGATTTTAGAAAAACTAAATTTTGCTTTGGTCTGCAAATTGAACACTTGGAAAGTGGAATCTTCATCCACCAATCAAATTATACCAAAAGAGTACTGAAACAGTTCTTGATAGATAAATCACATCCTCTAAGTACCCCCATGATCGTCAGAACACTCGATCCAATAAATGATCCATTTAGATCAAAAGAGGAAAATGAAGAAACACTTAGCCCAGAAGTGCCATATATGAGTGCTATAGGCGCATTGATGTATCTTGCTAACAGCACCCGACCTGATATATCATTTTCTGTAAATTTATTGGCAAGATTCAGTTCATCGCCTACTCGACGACATTGGAACGAGATTAAACACATATTTCACTATCTCCAAGGAACAATTGATCTCGGGTTATTTTACTCGAAAGATTCTCGACATGAATTGTTTGGTTTTGCCGATGCAGGATATTTATCTGACCCTTATAAAACCAAGTTTCAAACTGATCACGTATTCACTTGTGGTGAAACTGTGATCTCTTGGAGATCGATGAAACAATTTCAAATCATGCTGAAATATTGGCAATACATGAAGTTAGTCGAGAATGTGTTTGGTTGAGATCAATGAATCAACATATTCTGAAAAATTGCGGGTTATTACCTGACGATAGAATTTCTCCAACTACATTGTATAAAGATAATACAACTTGTATAACGCAATTAAAAGGGGGGTTACATTAAAGGAGATAGAACGAAACATATTTCATCAAAATTCTTTTCTACATAGATCTTCAACAGAATGGTGAAATTAATGTGCAGCAAATTCGATCAAATAATAATTTAGCGGATATATTAATCAAGGCATTGCCGACTGCAACATTTGAAAAATCGGTAAAGAAAATTGGGATGTGTCGGTTAAGGGATATCAAATAATACTCAGATCATTGGGAGCAAATTGATACAAGAATGTTCTATTATTTTTCCTTCACTAAAATTTTTTGTCCCAATACATTCTTTGTATAAATTATCTAAGGTGAAATATTGTACACATAACTATTACAAGGCTATTACATAACGTACACGTATGTTTAGTACGGATGCTTTATAGGCTAATGTTTGGACTTAATTGCCTATATATATATATGACATTGTGTAAAGATATTTATTACTATAAAATAATTTAATACAAAACTCTATCCACCTTGTCTCCTACTGGGCTTTCTATTTCTCTCTCTATCTAATATATATATATATATATATATATACTACATCATTATCATTATCATTATCATCATCACACACACCCTACATACAAACTCATATATATATATATATAATAATATCTTACTTATATATTATATATATGCAAACACATTTATATATATACTTTATATTATATATTATATACAATATATGAAATAGTAGTTAACGGTAAAAATAATTAATATTTTTATTAGTTAATTTTATATTAATATTACAACAAATATAATATATTAAAAATCATTTCATTTTTCAAAGACAAGTGTTTTTTTAATTATAAATTATACCTTTTATTGATTTTAAATAATATTTTAAAATAAATATTAAATTTGTGTAGTTAATATTCCTATTGTTTTTTTTTTACAATTTTTAAAATATGATAACTCATAGAATAAAATAAATTGTATTATTTTAGAAATTTTAGAAATAATCTCTCATCGTATAATTTTTTGATTCTCTTTTTTTGATTCTCACTGCGGAGACGTCCATCAATATTTAATAGTAGGTGATAGTTTGAGGCTGTTGAAAATTTTGAATGTACAATAGAGGCATTTTTAGAATTTAATTTTAATTAATTTATTAATATAAAAATATATTATTTTATTTTAAAAATTAATATTTAAATAAAAAATAAACTTAATTATTATCCAAATGCATATTATTTAACCACTCACGTTGTAACGAAAATGCCAGCGGTTATCTTAAAATGCACATGGAGTAAACCTCCGATCGAACTCATAATTTCATGGTCACACGTCCAACTTCTACGCCACCAGGCCAACCCTTACGGGATAATATACTACCATTTATTTGGAGACGAAGTTGTTTCTCCACGTCGTGAATCGGTGTTTTTTCTTTTTATTTTTTATTTTTTTATTTTTATTTTTGAATATTAAATTTTATTTTATTTGATTTTTCTTCATTTATCGTTTAAATATTTTTAGTGTTTAATATAGTAGGTCCCACTGTTTAATATAATATATATAATTAAATTTTATTTTTTTAATATAATTACGTTTAATTAGTTAATAATAATAAATTATAATATTCCCTGACTCTCCACTATGGTGTCCTTTTTACGGTAGATACGTGAATTTACGAGGGGTATAATTAATAAATAATCAAGTATATATTAGTGAAAAAAATTATCGTATAATAAATATAATTTTAGATTAAGATTAAAATAATTATTTATTTTAATTAAAATTAAATTATAAAATTTAAAAATTGAGAATTTTTTTCACAAAAGAAAAATGACAAAATATGTGGAACATGCACATGAAAAATGGACACTGCAAATGGGACAGAGAATATTATTTTTTAATTATTTTTTTATATAAGAAATATTATTAGTAGTTTTATAATAAAAATTAAATATGATTAGAAATACAGAGTATGTAATTAAATATTAAAAAGATGATAACTCAATAGAAATATGAATTGATTTTTTTTGTGTGTCATGAAAAATTACGTTGGTAATATAAAAAATAATATTTTATGTATAATTGATCTTTTATTAGTGGATAATATCTATTATATTAATATTTATATATGTAATTTTTTTTAAGAATATTTATAAAAAATTGTTCTATTGATAAATGCTGAGTGAACGGATTAAATATTTATATCATTTTGTATATAATAAAATTTTATACTGTATAAATAAATAAATATAAACAATTAATAAAAACTAATTTTTATTAAATATAAAGAATTTTAAATATAAATAAAAAAATATTTATTTATTGATAAAAGAAATAGAAATAAAATTTTTTTTAGCGGATCTATGTTATAAGATGTTATATGTTATAAACTCAATTAATTTGTTTTATACTGGTTAAATATATTTTAAATTAGTAAATTTTATTAAATATAGAAAAATTTCATTTGTTATAGAATAGATAAAATAGAAATGGTATTATTTGTATATGACTGATAGACTACTATTTAATTTTTTGGTGTAGAATTCATTTTTCACCTTTTTTTTTTCTTTTTTTGGGTAGTGTGAGACTTATTTTTCATTTTAATTATTTTATTTGCCTATTTTTAGAAAAATATGTACGTGGATCCCATATCATTTTTCATTCTAATTATTTCATGACATTTCACTTCAATTAATTATATATATTTGTCTTTTTAAGATTTATATATATATATATATCAAAAAAAGGGAAGTTAAACATAATTTTGTATATGTGGAATGCTATCATATATATATATCAATCAAGAATTATTTTTTTTATTATTAAAATTTATATTTTGTGATAAAATTTATTAATTTTTATTTTTTTCATTTCAATTAATTTTTAAAAAAGAAGTAGACAAATCAATTGAAATAAAAACGATGACAAATTATATGGGATGATATCAAGAATTATTTTTTTTATTATTAAAATTTATATTTTGTGATAAAATTTATTAATTTTTATTTTTTTCATTTCAACTAATTTTTAAAAAAGAAATAGACAAATCAATCGAAAGTTTTAATAACAATAATTAATTTAATAATTTAATAAAATTTATAATCATTTAATGCATAACGCAAGACGCTCCGCTGATATAGATTTATCATTTATGTACTCCTTCAGTTATAATTAAAAGCACTTTCTTTTATCATTTTTTATTAAATTTAAAATATTATTATTTATTTTACAAAAAGTAACGAGGACAAGTATAGAGAAGAAAAAAAGAAAAAAAATAGAAAGATTAGGAAGGAAGAAATAGCAGGTGACGACGATTAGATATATTACGGGAAGGAAGGAAGGTTTGACTCGCAAGACTTCTGAAGTGCCTGTCTGCCTGCAAGAGGGAGAGCCAAGAAAAGAAAACGAAGGGAATTTATATCATCAAGAAAGAGATCCACTGAATACCTTTTGTATCTCCAGTTGCAAGCAATAATTGGAGAGGTTTTTCTTGTTTGCATCTCCAATTTGAGGGCCTATGGCCAGTCTTGTGCTGCTGTCTCTGTTCTTCGAAATTCTGTATGGCTGGGCCCATGAGTTTCCGGCTACTAGTAACCATGACAATGGGCACGTCGCCGCCGCTTTTCAAGCTCCGGCGTGCCGTTCTTTGTTAATGGATCAAAAAATGTGAGCTATACCACCCACGTATGTTTTGATTTCCTGTTTAGGTCATTAATTTTTGACAAATTGATCTATTTGTTTATGGTTAAACATAGGGTTTATATGATATGGAAGTCTTAATATGTACATAGGGAGTGAATTTTATGTTTATGCTTTTAGGAATTGGCTACTAAACAAGTAGAATTCAAAATTGAGTCTAGTGTTTCTTGCTGTGGATTCCTCTTTAATATATGTGTCTTTTATATATATAGATATATATATATATATGTTATGGCAGTTTGGCTGAGGAGCTGATTGATTTATTTGCTTTGCAATTTTCTTTTTGAGATCAGGGAAAGAAGAGAGACTGCCTTAGTGGCTACATTGGATGGTACTATTTTTCTGTTGGAAGTAGGTTCTATGGAACCAGTATGGTCGTTTTCATCCGGGCCACAAATTTACTCTTCATATCAAGCTCCTATCAATGGAACCGGAGTCGAATTAGAAAACTATTACTTCATTGATTGTGGTGATGATTGGGAACTTTACATGCACTATTTTCTTGGCAAAGCGGTATGTGTTCGTTTAATCATCATTCCTTGAAGTAATTAGTATTAGATTTATTGGTTCTTGTCGAAACACACATCTGTTTTGCTGGTTATTCTTGACTTCACATTATATGAAGTTGTGGCTATTTTAGTTCATTATTGCCTGGAAGATTAGCTTTTATCTTCAAGCCTGACATTAATCTTCTGATCTTCGTTTTTGGTTACTTCTGTTAACTGCATTTTGGTAGTGGGAAATTTAAGGATGTACCTCCGGTGACCATGACATAAGTTTTTGAAGTTTCTATTTTAGATATGGAAAATATTAGATTTAAATCTGATGCTATTTATACTTGCGCTTTTTTTTTTTTTGGTTCTCCATTCATATTGCGGGGAACACAATACACTTAAGGGTGTGTTTGTTTGGGGGATTGGATTGGATTTACACTATTCATCCAATTTTTTCCTTCCAAAAACATCAAATCAAACACCTATTTTTCATTTTTTATACTATACTAAAAATCAATTTTACATTCAAAACATTACATCAACACCTATTTATATCACATCATACAACTATTTAAGTTCAAAATTTTTTACTATTCAAATCCCAACTCAAAATCCAAACCCCCAAACAAACACACTCTATAACACTGAACTCAATACACTTATAACACCTACCCTGATATAGTTTGCCTATGTTAGTCTGAAATGGAATTAAATTTGCACTTATTTACACAATTTACCACAATTTAACAAGATATTAGATTGTTAATAGGTAGCTACCTAAGTCTGACTGCAATACGTAAAATGCCGAACTTGTAAGACATTGGCTTCATCACAGTGGACCAGGCACATTCGGATCAAATTGAGATGCTCTAAAGTTTGGCTTGTTAATAATAATGTTCAGTTGTGCTCAAGCTTGAAAAAAAAAAAATACTCTAATAATTTGAGTCAATAAAAAAAAGTACTGTAATAAGCTTGATATGACATCAATTTGTAGTTTCTGTTATTGTTTTTAATAAAATACTAGATCAAGCTCGAGTTTTAACATCTGAACTCTTTGCTTGATCAAGCAAGCTGAGTTTGGCTCAATAAAAATGTGAGGCGTGTTTGAAAATGTACACTATTCCATTTGGCTTAATTAACATCTATACGATTATTATAGTAAGAAGCCAAAAATGATGTAAGATATGTGATGGACATTGATGGGGAGATTGAGATGTTTCTCTTGATTTCACTAGGAGATTGTGGAGTTATATGAAACCTGATTGAAAGTTGATACAAAATACCTACCATGTGAAGATACGCATAATCTATACCCCTTTTCAACATCAAGGTAGCCATGGAATATAAATTGACTAGTTTAAAGTTGTGAAGGAAAAGTGCAGGAAGAAAATAAAGCAAGAAAAAACGAAAAGGAAGGAGAAGACTTTCTGCCCGAAAGTAGATAGAAATACTATAGGCACTACAAAAGCAGAATCCTCATTATAGCCTAATCATGTATGCTGATTTCATGCAAGAAAGAGAGCATGAAATGGCATCTATAAAGAACAATATGTCTCAATTGAAACAATTGCGTGATACGGTCCATATAGTTATAGTAGGATAGTATTTTTTTCACTTGTTAAATTTTTACCCAGCACATTGTGTTCCCATATGTATATATATTTTTTAATTATCATATAAGTTTAATGAAATTAAGCATTGGATTATTAAGTTCAAATGATAATTAACATTTCCGAGCAAGCCATAAATACTTACTGATTATCTGTTATGTGCTTTTGTCTATATTTCTTATGATGTGCTTTTTACCACAATTTCTTATCCTTTAGAAACTTATGAAGAGTCCCGAAGAGTATATAAGTTCAACTCCTCAAATAGCTGAGGATGGAGGAATTGTGATAGGTTCCAAGAGAACAGTTGTCTTTCTAGTTGATGCACAAACTGGAAGAGTGATCCATACGATATCCGATTCAAAGTCAGGAATGCAGTCTGGTGATATTCCTTTTAACGCCTCTTTCAATGAGCCGAAGGGATATGATTCACCACTTCGCATCACAAGGACTGATTACTTATTGACAGCGTATATGCCAAATTCAAAAGAAGTTCTGTGGAATGTGACAGTTGCTGACATAGGGGTTGCTTTACTTTGTCCAGATGCCCACAATGCATTTGAGCTCATTCATTCTAAATCTTCTGAGCACAATCTGCCTTATAAAATGCCACTACCATGTCAGTCAAGGGCGAGAGTCTATCGCCTCCGCACCTATAATATGCCAGAAACATTATCAAAACAATACAGGCTTCCGGAAGTTTCTAATGAAGATGTGATGCCTCAGGCATTTACAACTGCTGATGTTCTTCCATCACAGCCCAATATCGATAAAGTTCTGAAGCTTATTTCTTCATCTCGCCACAGTGACAAGGGTGTGGATGCACAAAGTGGCAAGAACACTGATGGTTCTCTTCCCCAGCTTGCATTCAACGAGAATTATGAAATGCTTACTGCAGATGATGCTAAAGTACGATCTTCTTATTGGAACCTCATCACATCTCCACTTTTTATATTGGTTCTAGGATTGGTTATCTGCTCTTACACTTACTCTAGAATAAGAGGCATGTTGGTTGATGCCAATTCTAGAGAAGTTGGAAATAGTGGTGGCAATAGTGCAAACCTAGGTGCAGAGCAAAATGATGTTGGGCAGTCTATATCTTCTGGTAGAGAAGTGTACTCAATTGGTAAGTTAGTTGTTTACAATGAAGAAATTGCAAAAGGTAGTAATGGGACTATTGTTTACCAAGGAATATATGGAGGTCGTCCTGTTGCAGTGAAGCGCCTTATGATGGCCTACTATGACATTGCCTTAAAAGAAAGTCAAAATCTTATTGCCTCCGATGACCATCCAAATATTGTGAGATGGCATGGAGTGGAGAAAGACCAACATTTTGTATATCTTGCATTGGAGCGGTGTGATTGCAACTTAAACGATATTATTCTTATGCACGCAAGGAACCTGCATGCTGAGGAGGTGACTGAGGGTACGGTCCAGTTGGATTCAATTAAAGGCCTGATGGAGGGTTATGAGCTGTGGAACTCAGATGCCTATCCTTCCCGTTTTTTGCTGAAATTGATGAGGTTATTTAACTTTACGCCAAAATATTTGAAAAATAAAGTTCAACTTAACATACTCAAACCAATATTATTACTTCTATCAATTTTCACTATGAACCTTTGAAACACAGGGATGTAGTTTCTGGGATTGCACATCTACATATAATTGGAATGATTCATCGGGATTTGAAGCCCCAAAATGTGTTGATAACATGCAAAAGATCTCTCTGTGCAAAGGTTTCCGACATGGGTATAAGCAAGTTCCCTGGTGGAGACATGTCTTCCTCGAGTAATCATTCCACAGGTAATAGGTTTGACTGAATAATCTGCAATCTATTATTCTGATGTGCTTCCGTGTTCATCCATAATAGTTAATTCGTTTTAGAAATTTTATGCAACTATCTCACCGGAAAGTTTAAGTTTGATACAAGAGTGCACCATTTCTGATTTATATATTTGATTGGTTGTGTTTTAATTTGTTTTCACCACTATTCATTGTATGTAAAATATTTCCCCTCATAGATAACATCAAATCATACATCCAGGGTGTGGTACATAGAATATAGAATTGTAGTGAAATGGGAGTAGATAATTGATTATCTTGTTTAGTATAATAAAAAATTCAGTTAAGAAAAGTAAAACAGATGCAGACATTTGAATGAATTGATCAAAGGGGAAATAGTGAATTGTGTAAGAGGCTTTTAGTGAGTGAGAATCCATACAAAAATATTGTTAGCGTTACTTATTTCTTTTTTTGTAATTTTAAATAACATTGTAAAAATTAAATAGTACGAAGAAAATAACAAACAAAGACAATGCATCATTTCTCAATATACATTTTTTTTTCTATTTATCAGGCATATGTGAAAAAAATGAAAATAGAGAATAAATTTTTTTCTTAAATTTGATTTCTCTTAACTCAAACAAACAAAATCTCACGCTCCTGTAACAAACACACCCCTATTAACTATCCAAAACTTTCAATGCATATGTTAATGCAATGTAACACATCACATCATACTTACTCACCTGCAAACATTTTCACCTAAATGAAGAGAAAGCAAATATGTATAAAGGGCAAATATGTATAAAGGCCAGGTGTACTGTACATAATAGTCACAGTTCATTTTTCCTACTTACTATATTGGATTATTCTATTTCAGGCTGTGGAAGTTCCGGATGGCAAGCTCCCGAACAACTCCTCAACAAGCGTCAAACCCAGGCTGTCGATTTGTTTAGCCTTGGTTGTGTTCTGTTTTTCTGCGTTTCTGGTGGTAGACATCCATTTGGGAACCGTCTAGAACGTGACAGGAACATTGCCAGAAATGAAGTCGATGTGTCCCCTGTGGATCATATTCCGGAAGCGGTGCATCTTTTCTTGGGGCTATTGAACCCCATTGCCGAATTGAGGTACTTATTCAATCGTACTTTCGGTGTTATATTTGATTAGCCTAAACGCGGGGTTTATTCCACACTGAACTATGAACAATAGGCCGAAAGTATTGGATGTGCTTTGCCATCCTCTCTTTTGGGATGCCGAGAAGCGGCTTTCCTTCATCCAGGACACAAGTGAGAGATTGCAACTAGAAGATAAGGGAACTGACTCCAACTTGGATCTTCTGGGATCATTAGAAACTATAGCTCCCGCAGCTTTCGGATCCAAGTGGAACGACAAGTTGGAGTATATATTTCTTAACAACATGGGGCGCTACAGGCGCTACAACTATTACAGCGTCCGCGACTTGCTGAGAGTCATGCGCAACAAGCTGACTCACTACGGGGAGCTTCCCCCCGAAATTCAGGTACCAATAAATAATCAGTGTGATCCATTCCATTCCATGTGGACAACTGATCGATTAAAATTGCAAAAAATATTCTTGACTTATATTCAATTATCACTTTTATCTTTTTATTGTCACACTAATAAATTATATCCAACATCTGTCACAATTTTGCTATGTACGGGACATATTTTGTTAAGAGTGTTCATGAAGTACAAGTCACGGACGGTCAATATACTGAAATAGAGGATATATTTTACAAGAGTGACAATTAGAAAACAACAACGATAATTAGGCATATATACAAAGTCATTCTTCCTTCCTTCCATACATAAAAAGAAATTGTTGATCTGATCCCATTGATTGATTAATTGAAGGAGCTACTGGGGCCTGTTCCAGAAGGATTCGATAGGTTTTTCCGGATTCGATTCCCCAAGCTGTTGATCGAAGTATACAAAGTAATGCAGCAACACTGTAAGACAGAAAAGTGTTTTTCAAAGTACTTCTACCCTTCAAACTAATACAAAACCAAACCAGCTTTTTTTTTTTTTTTTTACCAAACCAGCTTTGATGCTTTGAGCTTATGTCTGTGGTAAAAGATTATTAACGCACAAGGCAAACTTCTGAATAAAAATGTAAAAATAGACAGCCAATGTTAATACAAATGTAGAAGTACAGATGTGATAGTTCCACACTTCAGTATCATGTACATTAATAAATAATATCATAACTCATGTTGTATGCAAATTGGGGAAGAGAACCACTATTTCTTCCTTTATTCTTACTCTTTAGTACTCTTTCTGTTTCGGTTAATTATGCCATTTTGTTTGGATAAGGGCATTAATAAATAATAATATTATAATAAATATGTGAAGTATGTAAAAAGTAAAGTATTATAGTAAATTTATTAAATAATTGATAAAAATGTGATGTAGTTAGTAGAAAGAGCAGTGGAAATATTATTTGTTAAAATAAGAGTAATAAATTTGTGGGTGTGATGGGTAAAATTTCAATAATAAAAAGTAAAATTCAAAAATATATTTCGAATTTGAATATAAAAGTGTCTAAACACAGTACGCAACAAAGATAACAATTGAAATTGTTGAGATATTTTAAATATTCAGTTTTAGATTTAGTAGATTTATATCTAGATTTGATCTTATTCATAGATTAGATTGTCTATTTTGTATTGTCTATATATAAACTTCTTATTTTGATGATCAATAATACAATTTCATTATTTTTCCCCAAAATTTCTAACATAGTATCAGAGCCTATTTTTCTCATGTTATAGATATAGCCTATCAACCGTGTTTCTCCGGGTACATTCAACCTAAATTGTACCCGGAGGTCTTGTGATTTTGAGATCATGCATTTGCAAGTTGTCTTTTTGCAAATCTGTCTCGTCTCGTCTCCGATCTGCCATCTGTCTGCTGCTTGTCTGTTGCCTGTGTGTAATCTGAAATATTCGCTGCTTGTCTGTTGCCTGCGAGCAATCTGAAGCGATCTGCCATATGTCCATTGTCTGTCTGTTGCTGCGTGCGATCTGCCATCTGTCGTTGTCTGTCTGTTGCCTGCGTGCAATCTGCCATCTTTCGTTGCTTATTTATTGCCGGAAATCTGTCTATGATCTACCATCTGTCCGTTGTTTGTCTATTGCTTGCGTGCCATCTGATCTGTCCGATGTTTGCGATTTGTCTCGTTTTCGGCTCCGGTGGAGTCATCTCGTTTTCGCCTCCGGTGGAGTCCTGTGGTTTTTGGCTCCAGAGGAGTCATGTGGTTTTCGGCTAAGTGGAGTCATCTCGTTTTCCATCTTGTTTTCGACGGCTCTTGGTGGAGTCATGTCGTTTTCGGTTCCGGTGGAGTTCTATCGTTTTCGGCTTCAATAGAGTCATCTCGTTTTCGGCTCCGGTGGAGAGTCATCTCGTTTTCGGCGGCTCCGGTGGAGTCATCTCGTTTTCGGCTCCGGTGGAGTCCTATCGTTTTTTGCTCTGGTGGGTGGAGTGTCAACTGCTAATTTTATTTATGTTTTCTTTTTGCATTTATATTCAAATTTCTCATCAAACTCGAGTTGGTTTCTGTTATACCACTTGAGTTTGAGGGGGATGTTGAGATATTTTAGATATTCAGTTTTAAATTTAGTAGATTATATCTAGATTTGATCTTATTCATAAATTAGATTACTTAGATTTGAGTCTATCGAGTCTTTTTTGTATTGCCTATATATAGGCTCCTTATTGTGATGATTAATAAGACAATCTCATTATTTTCCTCTAAAATTTCTAACAGAAATAAAGGGAACTAGAAATATAAAATGATATCCCTAATGAGATTTATTTGAAAAAATAAAGGGAATTCGAAATATAAAATGATATCCCTAATGAGATTTATTTGAAAACGTTGCTAATTGAAGATGCACGCATCCTCTCATTGAAGTTGTTGATATACAAACCCGTCTGAACCGGCTGGAATTGTCCCCCAGTCGGTTACCGAGATCGTACATTGAAATGTTGTCAGTTACAACATTTGTTTTCCATGTTTAAATGTAGTCAATTGTGATGGTTAACAACCAATTTGGTAACTCTAGTCAGTTCCCTCACGACCAATCGACCAAGAAATTCCCAGTCGGATGAGCTTTTCAAACAATGAGCCGACCAACCCATTTTGATGACCTTTTTGGGCTCCATCGCTCTGCCCTGACCTGTGTTTGGTTCGAAAATTTTGCCGGGCCCACCACCGGGCCCATTCTTTTCCATATTGAGCCGAAACCCTAATTTTGAATTTTCTGTACTCAACAACTTTCCCTCATCCCACCTGCCTCAAGATGTGACGGTTGAAAGTTTGCGACTCACATCAACAGTGTATCATTACGTTGTTTCAAGTCAAATCAAGAGATTTATTAGAACCCTCTTGGTAAGGCAGATCATCTCCTCTTCGCCATTTGCAAATTTTACCCTATACCAAATCTTGAAACTTAAAATTTCATTCCTCTGGCTAATGGTCTTCGATACAGGATGATACTTGCTCACGAAGGCCTGCGCTGCTTCCTTGAAGGTGGCAGGAACGGGGTAGAGGTTGTCAAACCATTTCCTAGCCTCTCCTAACAACGAAAAGGGAAAATATCAACTTTGCAGCGTCCTCTGTGATGCCGTGCGATTTGGAGGTGACAGCGATCCTGTTGAAGTTCTGCAGATGTTCGTACGGGCTTTCATTAAGCAGCCCATAGAATTGGCTCTGGCTTCACCTCGTAATGTCCAGAGCCTATGGGCGCAGAACTTGTGATCAAAGTGCTATCCATGAGGGACTGATAATGAACGTCCATAGGGACTTCAGTAAGCGGGCGATCAGCAGCCCTTTGTCCCTCGTGCCTCTGGTTAGGCTCAGCAATAGGTGGAGGAGAAGCGATGATGGCGGGTGTCGCAGTGGCGGTTTGAGCTGTATGGGAAGCGATAAACGCCCCCTGAGCAGCTATAGTTTTTTTCACCTGAGCGAGGTGCGCTTGTAGTCTCGCCATCCCCTGTTGTAGCTGCTAAGCGTCCTCACAAGCTGCTCTTCAGTAGCTGTCAGGACGTGGGGAACAACGGTTGGCACTACAGTGGGGATGTGGCAGAGTTTGAAGAGGTCCCAACGATTTTCTGGAAAGTTGGGACGGCAGTAGAGGGAGCGGTGACATTTCCTTGGTTCGTCATAATCCTTTCTCTAGTTAATTCTCTGAACAGACGTCTTTGTGAGCGAGAAGAAGGAGTGGGACTAGTAGAACGCTGAAAACGCTTCAGACCCCTACATAAAGATAGCCACACCAACTGAAGAAGTTAGAAATACAATAATAAAACATAAAGCATACAATACATAAATATAAGTAGATTATGGTGCTTCATAGATCTCTTCAAGATTTCAGTTCTTGAGTTCAAAATCCTCGGAAACGGCGCCAAATTATGACAACACATTTTTGATATATATTCAAATGCAGAGAATTTTAGTTGAAAATTTAAATGTAAGGGTTTATTGTGAGCGATCAGATATAGCAAAAATTTGTGGTTGTAGACCCTGAATCGTTTATCATAATTATTTATACTCTTTAACTGGTGAGTTTCCAGGTCGAACACAGGGATTTTTAAGTCCCGAAATCAAGTCGAGTGTCGATCACATAAAAACGGCGGAAAAACAGTAAGAAGACCCGCTTTGCAGCGAGCCTGAATCTAACGCTATAGAAAGTTGGAAACTAGGGAAAGTGATAAAAGTGAGTGGTGGTGAGTGAGAGAGAGAGACATGAGCGGATGGCACAACATAAACTTATATAGATTGAGCGGTAGAGGGTGATAGAGAGGTGTTGTGTCTGAACTGTGGTTACTCAATGGCTAGATTTCCGTGGATGAAATGAGCGAGTGATGTTGGTGTTTAATCGAAACATATATGTATAATACAAAAGCGGTAGGAGAGAGAGTAATGTAAGTATATAAACCAGATTATAAAGAACTTTGATCGTTGATACTTGACCTTAAGGGAGTTACAACAAGATTTCAATGACACCCAGAATCAGAACATTATAAGAAAGAAACCCTACTGTCACTAGAAATTTCTGTAACCCAATAGACCACCGCCTATACCCCATTAATTATCCCAAATTCTGTCTCATTAGTGGCTTTACCCTTCTGTTACCTCTTTTTAATCAAAATTAAATTTAAACTAGTAATTAAGCAGGTCGACAAGGCTCCCGCGTACTTAACTACATTGAACTACCTTGAATCTGTTTGTGACAAAAGACAAGGCTTGGATAATCAATTTTTCTGTGTTCTTTCTCAGCAAAGTGAAATTCTTTACAACCAGGGTTTATATAAATGTAAAATATGGAAGAAGTGATGACAAAGAACAAATGATATTACATTACTTACTACCAAAGCAAGAACTTCTAATTCTACGAAAGTAAAGCGGTAAACTAAAACTAAGTAAGCGGTAAAATGTGGCCAAGGGGAAAGAGAGATCTCAACCCCCTTGGTCATTCCTGCTGAGAACTCCCTTACAGGGTTGGAGCTCTCTGGAGGCAGGAAGACAACAAGAATGCGTGTACAGAAGTGCTTGTATACTCCTTTTCAGAGTCTTTTTACAATTGCATATCTGGCCTATTTATAGCTAATGGGACTAGCAGTTGCGAGCAGTTGAGAAGTGGTTCCAACCGCTGGGCAGTTAGGCAGTTGTTGGCAGTTATACCGTTGGGGCAGTTACTGGCCGTAACTTCCAGGGTACTCGCTTCGCTTGCTTCGACTTGTAAGGGCGCAGATCTTCCTCGCTCACCCAAATGGTTGGAGGGCATCAGCGCAGCTGAGCGGAGTTGTCAATGCTGGTTGGTAGTGGAATGGTTGTACTGCTACGGATTGAACACTTAGACATTATTTGCACCCCGTTGTTGTCGCTGGGCTGCGGTGGGTGTCTGGGTCGCTGACCTAAGCGATGGGGTCGTCGTTTGTGAGCGAAGTGGCTATCGCTTGTCTCATCTGCCTTAGCTTTTCTAGACCCGTATCACCGGTTAAAAGGGAAAAAATTGTTAATAATCTCAACAAACCAATTCTGAATAATCCCAAGTGAGATAGATCAATAAAGTATGCCATAAATCAGATATTGGGATAGTTTTTATACAAAAATTCAAGTAATGCATAGTTTTGTCAAGCGGAGAATATGCTCATATTTGGAGTCATCAGAGTTTCATTATACTTTCAACTACCAACCTCAATATCTGGCATGCCAGTTTGGTTCTCGGTCCTCTTGCCAGACCCCACCTTATCACCTAAAGCCTTGAAGGGAATGTCATTCCCGAACTCATCCGACCATATCTTACTCATCTTTCCGCCTATATCACTTCCAACTCTTACCTCAAAACCATTGAAACCTTCCGGGAGTGGTGGTCGGTCATATGGCGCTGCTAGCCCTTCCGTCCGATCAACTAATAGGGTTTCTCCTTCTAGCACCGGAACTATCCCTAGGCTCACCCCATTCGGCGCCGGCACCAAGAAAGAAGCGGGCGTCTGCTGCCGAGGCTGTCCCCAGCGCACTAAAGAAAAAGAAAGGAGCCGTCCAAACAAAGTTTGCACCATGACTGCAGTAGATCGACAAGCAGTGGAGGACTAATTAGTCTCCCTACCTATCGATACACATTGGATGACATCCAATGTACGATGCCTTCTTCCGCCCGGCTTTGGTAAGGCCAGACCTACTTTAAATTTTTCATAAACACTATAATTTTATTTCTATATAACCCAGACGTCCTTGTAGATGACCCTCTTCCGCCTATCATCGAACCGACGAAACTACGGATCAATCTGCCGACCCTGAACCACAAGTAACTGACTCTTTTCATTACTTAATATTTCCAAAAACTAAAATGTCCTCCTCACACAACTTTTAACTTTTAGGCACATGCTCCTCCAACAACTGAAACTCAAACTCCTGCTTCGCCAACCGACACGCCGGAGCCGCTCCTGCTACACATCAAAGGGAATTGCCAATGATTAGTCGGGAAGATGAACCAACTAGGAGCCAGACTCCTCCTCCTTGCCACTTTCCGAAACTTTGGCTTATGCACCTTTAAACCCAGTAGGTATCATTCATAGCATCCAGTTATATCCAGATCAATTAAATTTTTAACTAACCCGAGGAGAAATCTTGCAGACTCATGATCCCCTTGACGCTGCGCCTGACCTACAAGTCGTTGTTGTCAACCTTCCTACCGATCTCCTCGAACAAAAAGTCAAAAAGGAACAACAAACTCTCCCCGAGCCAGTCCACCAACATTTTGAAACAAACGCCCCACCTCTAGGAGCCGACCCTTCAGCGGCCAACTGTCCCGAAGCTCCCCTCGTGGTGGTTGAAGAAATATCTTCATCTCAATCAGGGGAGGCTTCCATCAACCAGAAATTAGAAAATATGGTAAATTAATTGTTTACTTCCAATTTTCCAATTTTCCACTTTCCTGAGATTTCATGTTTTCTCAACCCCTTCTCCTCACAAGGTTCAGAACCAAATGTTGTTAATCCGAGCCTTCTTCCCGCGGGAGAAGAGTGAGGAGTTAGTGCCTAGGAGCTCTAGGGTCCACCCCTACTTGTGCCCGCACTTCTGGCTCCATCCAGCTCGACAGTCATTCCAAGCCAGGTAAACGTCTTCCCAAAAGAAAAACCTTTTGAATCTGTCTTATCCATTTCAAACTTTGCTCAAAGATTCCTTATTTCGATAGAGCCGACTTGATCTTACGCCTCTCTCTCATATCCCAATTCCCACAACTGTTTGAACAGTGGTGACCAGATATGTCAACTTACCTTGCCCTGACTTGAGCTATGAAGCACTTCAGGCTCTGACTCAAGTCATAATCGATCTGTTGGTCCAAAGTCCCGCTGATTTGGACACCATTCCAGTTCTCCACTGACTGATAGAAAGGATCACAGAACTTCAAGCCGACCTTCCCTTGATCCCAACTCCATCTGTAGGGCCGTCCCAGCGTCCATCTGAGACGGATCTGACCACAATTAAGGCCCGTTTTGTCAAAGACCAACAAGGACCTCCGACAAGCTGATGCGCGATTGAACAACCTACTCCAATCCCAATCCTTCTTGGATGAGGACATCAGTAGAAGGCAAAGAGAACTGGAGCACCACCAGAATGAATTAGAGAAACTCAAGAGAGAATATGTCGCCTTGAGCGGCTACATTGAAGAAGAGAGACGTCTGATCGATGGATACCGCCACTAACACTAATTTTTCCTTTTATCTAATTTTTATGTACTTTATATCCTTTTACATCCTTTGATTCTGTGGACTCTTGGTATCAGAACCAAGGGGGTGTAAAAGGCGTTCATTTGTGTTTTTCAGGAATACTCCAAGATATTTGCCGACGGGTAACCGGACCAGCCATGTACGCCTTATGTCCTTTACACCCTTAGGATTGTAAGTTTTTTCTTGAAATATACATTTAAACTCTTATGGATTCCTTTTTTCAGCGATCTTTCTCTACCATGTCCACAAATAGCTCATCTAGTTGTAAGAAATTAGTCTGTTCTGAAGAAACTATTATTGAAAACTTTAACAAATCTATTGATGATTGGGCCATACCAAAGATCTCAAAAAATGAAATATATGAAACCTCTAGATTCCTCTCTTGGTCTACTGACTTAGCTATTAAAACTGAAGAAAAAAATATCCAATTATCAAAACCCTTTGAGACAATCACCTTACTTTCACAAAATTCTTTAGATAAACACTCTTCTAAGGGTTATAAATACATACATATTGGGTTAGTCCAAGTTGGTATAAAACCACTGACAAAAGAAGGTCTTGATGCTTCAATCCTTGCCGTACTTAGAGATGCTCGTTTTATTAACTTTGATGAATCTCTTCTTAGTTCAGTTGAATCTAGCCTATGCACAGGATCCATTTCCTTCGATTGTTATCCTAATATGACAATCTCTTTGCGTGATAAAAACGTATTAAAATCCTTAGTACTACAAATTAAAACTCATAACTATAAAATGTTAGAAGGATCCATCCCTGTAACTATATTATAAAGAATTTACTACAAAGCCATTTTATCAGCTTTTGATACAAAAGTTAAATTCCATAGTAGGAGAAGAGAAACACTTCTTCTCCAAATAGACTTAAGCAAATCTAATGCTATAGTCTCAAAATCTATTCAGTGGAAGGATGTCTCTCTTCCAGATGAATGGTTTTGAGAAGATGCGGTTGAACCTGAAAAACCATTATTTCCTACTCCAAACCCTCATCTTAAAACCATATCCTAAAGTAGCAGTGGAGAAGTTAGACTCTCTTTTCACAGAAACCCAAAATCAGACTATAATTACGAGAATAACTCTACATATTTTGATACAAATACCATTGATTTAGGAAGAGTTTCGCAACTAAATAGTCTGACTAAACCATCCAGATTTTCCACTTCTAATATCCCAACTTCATCCTTAGAAGAAGTAAATTTCTCTTCATCAATACCTAAATCTATTTACACCCGTAGAGACAATGAACTTTTACACGAACCAACTAGTTCTACATTTTCTTCAACAACTGAAAATGTTAACGAATTGAACACTACAGAAAAAGAATTTTCAATAGATAAAACAATTTTTCATAATGAATTCTATTCTCCAAAAAATTATGAAAAGCGAAACTGGTTCTTTAAAAACTTTCTTGATGATAAAAAATAAAATACAAACATCATTTTATAATTTTATCTCAGAAACAAAAACAATAATTCCCTTTTTTACGTGGTTTGAATTCTATCAAACCACTTATCCAGTTCAAAAAACTCTTCATCCTATTACACAAAGAAAACCTACTTGAGAAACAACAAATGGTAAAAAAAACCTTTAATACCAATCATCCACTTCTACAAGTTTTTAAGTTTTCTATCAAAGATCAACAAATAAACACTGCCCCTTTACAGAAAGTTAATGAGGATGAAAAGATCAATATAAAAAATTTAATTGGTCAAACCAACTACACCAACATTCATCTAAATACAATCGGAAAACAACTGGTAAGAGTTGAATCTCATATATTAGATACACAATTCACAACACTGTATAAGCCAAATCTACACATTTCCTCTGCCAAAAAACCTTTCTTTAAGCCTTTCCAAATCTCCAAAGAAAGTACACAAACTCTTATACAAGGAAAATCTGATTTTATTAAAGAACTTCAATCCCAACTTTCACGAATAGGCACCACCAGCGCCGAATATGCTCCTGATACACCATCATCTTCTCACTTAAATGTCATTTGTTCACATCAAACTGGAATAAATTGGGATGCACAACCACACCCTCTTACCTCTGTATTTCAGCCTGTTCCTCAAACTCGTTTTAATTATTCCTCCTTATATAATTGGAATCTTAATGGTTTAGGAGAATATCAAATCATACTTCTGTTACAAAAAATGACTATGGCTGCTAATGCCTATAGAACACAAGGGCATATACAAGATAGGGCTATCGTTGAAGTTCTAATAGCTGGATTTTCAGGCCAGTTAAAAGGATGGTGGGATTTATACCTCACTTATAATCAACAACAAGACATATTAGATGCTATTAAAATAGATAAATACGAAACTCCTATCTTAAATGAATCAGGTGATACTATACAAGATGTCGTATCCTCTTTAATCCAGACTATATCAATACATTTCTTAGAAGATCCCACCCATATTAAAAATAGAAATACTGAACTCTTATCCAACCTCAGATATAAAAAAACTTAGCTATTTCCCTGATTACAAATGAGATTTTCTTGATAGTTTACTAACTCGTGATGACTCAAACCAACCATTTTGGAAAGAAAAATTTCTCGCAGGATTACCAACATTATTAGGAGAAAAGGTCCGAAATAAAATTAAAACTTCATTAGGATCACAAACTATAGATTATGATAATTACACTTATGGGCAATTAATTAGTATAATAACAGAAGAAGTACTTCGTATATGTCAAGATATAAAAATACAAAAACACCTAAAATGGGAACTTAGACAAACAAAAACAGAATTAGGAACATTTTGTAAGAAACTTGAAGCTTGTAGTCTTAAACCCCCTAATGAAAATTGCAATTGTAAAGAAATGTCTAAGTCTAATAGAAAATATCATAAAAAAGGTTATCACAAACGAGATTACAAACCCTTTAAAACCCCTACATATTACAATAATGCCAAAAAGTATAAAAACCTCTTAATAATAACTACAAAAGAAAAAACAAGGATCAAATCAAATGCTATAGATACAACAAAATAGGACATATAGCTAAATATTGTAAAATTAGAAGAAAGATTCAAGAATTACAACTTGAAGATGAAATAACTGATAAACTTTATAATCCTTTCTTAACATCTTCTGAGGAAGATGAATCCGAAACGGAAAAAAGATCATCTGACTCATCTAATGACGATAAAAAAATAATATATTTAACATAGAAAATGATGAAACTTCAATAGATTCTTCTAGCACAGATCTATCTATCAATATGATTACACAAGAACAACAAAAATTAATTGATATTATTAAACAAAGCTTTAAAATGGATTCGATATCCTATTCCTAATAAAAGAGATTTATTACAAAAATTATATGATGCTTATATATTCTCAAAATTTGATATGAAATCGGGTTTTTGGCAAATACAAATTTCCCCCGAAGATAGATATAAAACCGCATTTACTGTTCCATTCGGCTAGTATCAATGGAACATAATGCCTTTTGGATTAAAAAATGCACCTTCCGAATTTCAAAAAATTATGAACGATATATTAATGATTTCCATAAATTTTGTATTGTCTATATTGACGATGTCTTAATTTATTCAAAAACTATAGAAGAACATTTTAAACACCTTCGTACCTTTCTATCAATAACAGAGAAAAATGGTTTAGTCATTTCTGAATCTAAAATAAGTCTTTTTCAAACAAAAATAAGACTCTTAGGACACTATATAACACAAGACACTATTACACCAATTGAAAGATCCCTTCAACCATGGCACTATATGACTTTTGAATAAACTGATACCAAGAGTCCACATAATCAAATGATGTAAAAGGATATAAAGTACGTAAAAATTAGATAAAAGGAAAAATTAGTGTTAGTGGTATGACCTTGCCAATCCAAAGAGGAAGGGATGTTAGGTTGTTAAAAGTTAATTAGTGGTCCGGCCTTGCCAGTCCGCAGGGGAAGGGATGTAGATTATTAAAATTAAGGTATTAATATGTAAACATTAAAGTCTTGAATCAATGTTTTGTGGAGAACATTACAGTCTTGATTTCAGCTTTCCAGTCGTATTTTTAATAGACTCGGGTTGACATCTTTTGAATAAACTGATGATTTATCATAATGACATTCTTAAATAAACAGACTTAGACTTTACACAACTTGGACAAACTTATGGTTTATACATAAACTAAATTGATTAAGACATATAGACTCACAAATATTAAGACCTTTGGAACATTCTAAAAGATTACTTGCCAACTCGTACCTAGTTACTTAGACTTCACTAGAACGTTGCTGAATCTAGTTACTCAGACTTCACTAGCATGTAGAACACTCTTAGACCTTCAATGCTTTTGGAATTCAGAAAGAAATCAGGACTCTCTTCCTCGCTCCTTCTTTCTTGATGAAATGAAAGCCCTTATATAGGAGGAGGCAGGGGTCTTTCGGCAAATAAGGAGGGACTGAAGTGCAAATGTCATGAGGGTTTTGTCCATACGCGGAAGGTAGTGGTAATCTGGGTGGCCATCATTCCTTATTTGGTAAGTTGGACCTGTGATCTTTGTCGGCCACATTTCCTTTTATGCCTGGTGGAACCTGTCAGGGTATATTATATATATATACATGTATAATATTTGTGTATATAGATAGTAGAGTATAAAAAGTATATATATATGTATATATAATATTTGTGTATATAGATAGTAGAGTATTTGTACGTACATATGTATGTATATAGATAGTAGTTTATTTGTACATATATATATATGTCTTTTTAGTAGTAGGGATATATATATAAATCATTCATCATTTTTTTTAAAGTCTTTTTTCCCTGGCATATTAAAATTGTCACAATTGGTCTTCGGATGGTCTCTTTTATATGATGTGGAATGTCGTCAGCATCATTTTTTTTTTACATTCCACTATTACCGAACCATGTGTCATTGGACTGGCTTGTTGAATCGTCTGAGCCTAGCTGCTCTTCTATGATTTGAATGGCTTCCTTTGGTGTTTTAGTGGCTGCGATGAGAGAAGCAATATGGGATCGCTGTTCTTGGAATTTTATTTTCGGATTAGT